GTGTTGGACTCGACTGAGCGACTTAGCATAGGGCAACACAATCACCCTACACTACTACTACTGGGGGTGGGAGTGGGGTGTGGGGGTAGGGTGGAGGGTTGGAGGTGGGGGTGCTGAAAGTACTGACCTAAAGAAACTAATTCAGAATGAAGCCAAAAGAAATGAGGCTACCTGTTACCTCCAGCCAAATCTGAACCTCAGGACCTGGACTGGAGGTCCTGGAGGTCTGAACTGGAGTGTCTTGGGCCAGCAGGCAAACCCTTCGTACATCCTTAGGCAGCAGTGGTAGATGGATTGGGGCCCATCTCAAAGAGCCCGGTTATCAGCAGAAGAGAGTGCCTGAAAGCACAGGAAAGAAATAGCTTCTAGAAGGCAGGCACCATGCCAGGTCTATTTACTCTAAAGAGCCCACTGTCTCCTTTTAACAATCTGCTGAGAAGAGAATCTTATAACTTGTTTTTAAATATGGCTTTCAAACAGTTTTCAAACATAGCTACTCACTGGAATCACTTGGTAAGGTTCAAAAAAAGTCATAGTGACCTGGCCACATCCCAGATCAACTGAATCAGAACCTCTAGAGAACAAATCTCTATTTTCTAAAGTTCTCCAAGCAATTCCAATATGCAGCCTAGGCTGAGAACCACTCCCTGGGGCGGCCAGGTCATTATTGGCAAACCCATCCACTCAATGCAGCCAGTCGTAAGCACTTTTGAGTGACTTATTTATGCTGAGAAATTTACATAATCCTCATTACAACTCTAGGAGGTAGGTATGATAATCATAGCATGTCACAGATGGGACAAGTGGGACTTGGAAAGGCTAAGTGACAGACCTGGGATGACATGGAGACACCAGTTTGATTCTTGGGTCCAGAAGATCCCCTGGAGAAGGGTTAGGCTACCCACACCAGTATTCATGGACTTCTCTGGTGGCTCAGAAGATAAGGAATCTACCTGCAATGCGGGAGACCTCAGTTCGATCCCTGGGGTGGAAGATCCCCTGGAGGAGGACATGGCAACCCACTCCAGTATTCTTGCCTGGAGCATCCCCACGGACAGAGGAGCCTGGCCGGCTATAGTCCATGGGATCGCAAAGTGTTGGACTCGACTGAGCGACTTAGCATAGGGCAACACAATCACCCTACACTACTACTACTGGGGGTGGGAGTGGGGTGTGGGGGTAGGGTGGAGGGTTGGAGGTGGGGGTGCTGAAAGTACTGACCTAAAGAAACTAATTCAGAATGAAGCCAAAAGAAATGAGGCTACCTGTTACCTCCAGCCAAATCTGAACCTCAGGACCTGGACTGGAGGTCCTGGAGGTCTGAACTGGAGTGTCTTGGGCCAGCAGGCAAACCCTTCGTACATCCTTAGGCAGCAGTGGTAGATGGATTGGGGCCCATCTCAAAGAGCCCGGTTATCAGCAGAAGAGAGTGCCTGAAAGCACAGGAAAGAAATAGCTTCTAGAAGGCAGGCACCATGCCAGGTCTATTTACTCTAAAGAGCCCACTGTCTCCTTTTAACAATCTGCTGAGAAGAGAATCTTATAACTTGTTTTTAAATATGGCTTTCAAACAGTTTTCAAACATAGCTACTCACTGGAATCACTTGGTAAGGTTCAAAAAAAGTCATAGTGACCTGGCCACATCCCAGATCAACTGAATCAGAACCTCTAGAGAACAAATCTCTATTTTCTAAAGTTCTCCAAGCAATTCCAATATGCAGCCTAGGCTGAGAACCACTCCCTGGGGCGGCCAGGTCATTATTGGCAAACCCATCCACTCAATGCAGCCAGTCGTAAGCACTTTTGAGTGACTTATTTATGCTGAGAAATTTACATAATCCTCATTACAACTCTAGGAGGTAGGTATGATAATCATAGCATGTCACAGATGGGACAAGTGGGACTTGGAAAGGCTAAGTGACAGACCTGGGATGACAGATTGCGTATGTTGAATCCTGAGCTGGATACGATTCCCTGACAGCTCAGAAGTAAAGAATCCACCTGCAAGGCAGGAGATCTGGGTTCGAACCCTGGGTTGGGAAGATCCCTGAGAGAAAGAAATGTCAACCCACTCTAGTATTCTTGCCTGAGGAATCCCAGGGACAGAGGAGCTGGGAGGGCTACAGCCCACAGGGCCACAACCGTCAGGCTTAGTGCCCAAGCCACCAGCACCCCTAAGCTGGATATTTAAACATCATATACTTTGTTGCTATTTGTGGATGCCATGCTTCCAGCAATCACTCCAATCAGAGAATACATTTTTTGTTTTTCTCTTGTAGAGAGAAGTATGCAAGTGTTGGAGAAATCGAAAGGGTTCGTTCCAATACGCTCTCCTTAAAGAGAACAAAAGTTGAAGAGGAAGAGTACAGGTTTCCAAAAACTAACATTTGTAGAGATTTGAAAAACATGTGTTATGGGACAATAAATAAACAGCCAGCAACAGAGGTCAAATGGCAATTTTTTAAAACAGAATCAGCTTAATAGTTTTGAGCAGCCGTCCTTGGTATCTTGAGACTAAGAAAACTGGATGGCATAGTTCTGCTGTGGAGATAAGAGAAAGAACTAGGAAGGTGCCATGGGAGATTATGCAAACAAGAGACTCAAAACTGCTTGTGCACATCACAATGACGATATAAGCTGAGCAGAGATAAATAAGAACAGAGGCAGAAAGACTGGGAGAGGCTGAAACACTGGAGAAGTGAGATAAAAGTTCACATCTGAGACACTGAGTTTGAGGATGGAAGGTGATACATCACCCCAAAACTCAAATATTTTAAAAGGTGGAGACAAGAGAGAATTCTCTCTCCTTAGTTCGTATTTTTAAAATGCTGCAGATAGAAAATAATATAAATTGGATCTTACAAGTTTGCTGAAAGTGTGCAAATGTTAACATGTCAATGTTTTAATTTTGCTAACAGAAACTTTAACACGGAAGAAGATTTGAATGACTCTTCTTGAAGAGAGCAAATAATCATTCTAATTCTTTATGCAATTTAGAATTTTCACATAATTTGAACCAAGGGAAAAAAGAAAAGCTCATTACAAAAGTGTGTTGAAATACCTGATGAGCAAAAGAAAAAGAATTCCTATACATAAATGTGTTTTCTTATTTCTCTTTTCAAAGCATGAATCATCACTCCTTTACGAGAAGAGGGCTGAAAGGAGGACAAGAGACTCCACCTATGTGTGCCAGGACAGAGGTGGGCGTAGTTTGTGAAATCATAATTTTCATCTTCAGAACTGTACCCATTACCTACTCCTTTAGCTGTTGGGAAATTTTCCAAGTGTTGCAGCTGGCAAAATCAGCTTAAGACAACAGGTTGCTTTCATTTCTGGTCAAAGCTTGTTGTTCCGTCACTCAATTGTCCGACTCTTCATGACCCCATGGACTGTAGCCTGCCAAGCTCCCCTGTTCAAGGAATTTTCCAGGCAAGAATACTGGAGTGGGTTGCCATTTCCTTCTCCAGGGGATCTTCCCGACCCAGGGACTGAACCCGTGTCTGTTACACTGGCAGGCAGATTCTTGACCACTGAGCCACCAGGCAAGCCCCTTCATGAGGGTTAAACTTTAAAATGCCCTCACATTATTTTACAGTAATTGAGAATGATTGGATCTATATTACATGTTTCAACAGTGCTAGTCTGCAATTTAGCACCATCTCTGGGATAAAGAAAAACCAACTCTCTATTTATTTGTCGTACGGTCATCTCCTTCTCACTGGGGTCACCAATCAGTTCACCTGTGACTTACCTCCATCCATCCTCCCGAGAAACCCCCAGCCACCCCACCCCCACCACACACACACACAACTAATACTTAGGTCTGGTAAAACTTGAATACATTACAGTTAAATTCTCGAGACCTTAATGCATCATGACCTAGACAGTAGGCACACAATGTTAATTGAACAAATAACTTCTGCCCTTTTTATTGCATCAACTTTTAACTGTGTTTCTGTCTATCCTTAAGAAATTTTCTAAAATGAGTTTTTGCTGAAAAGGATATAGACGACATTTATTCATATCATGAAATGGGGTTAGGAACCATAAAATTAAGATGTTAAAACATGTTTCTTAATTCTTAAGTTACCATAAAACTCACATTCTGAAAAATCTGAGAATTATTTTAGTTGGGGGTTGCTTTCAAAGATTAGGTGAGAAGAGATTAATAGCACATTCTTTGTCACTGATTTTGTGCATTAATCAAAAATGGTTAAATATCAGTTAAATTCATATGGTTCCACCTGATTAGAATCATTAGATAGCTGCTGCTGCTGCTAAGTCACTTCAGTCGTGTCCGACTCTCTGCGACCCCATAGACGGCAGCCCACCAGGCTCCTCTGTCCCTGGGATTCTCCAGGCAAGAACACTGGAGTGGGTTGCCATTTACTTCTCCACGGCATGCATGCATGCTAAGTCGATTCAGTCGTGTCCAACTCTGTGCGACCCTATGGACAGCAGCCCTCAGGCTCCTCTATCCACAGGATTCTCCAGGCAAGAATACTGGAGTGGGTTGCCATTTCCTTCTCATTAGATAGCTGAAAACCTGTAATATTTATACATCAAGTGAAACAATCCAAGCCTTTGTATTTCAAAAGAAAAAAGCCTTCAAAGGAGAGAATGGCCTTAGCTACTCTGAAATACACTAAAACTACAACACATATTCAGCACCAGGGTTTATTAAGGAAGGAATCTATTGGTGAGACTCAGGAGTTGGGTTCTGACTGAGCTTCCTCAGTGCATGTGAAAGATGAGGTGTTACAGCTGCGGTTACATAACTCTGGGGTAACAAGAAGCAAAGATGTTGTTTAAAATAAATAACTTCCAAATCCAAAAATGCCATGTTGGTCATTAATTTAAAAACCCCATTCCCCAAAGAGTTTTGTGCTTGTTCACCTAGCTTTTGTACCTTCCACAAAAGGTGCTGAAAGGCAGTGAAACTTCAAGAGTTAGGAAGAGGCAGAAAACTCAGTAACCAGCCATTTCACAGGCAATAATCGGCTGAAGAGTAATATTGGCTTTAAGTCAGACGCTGACTTAATTATTTAATATAGAACATAAGCATCCACAGCCATTAAATGACTTTACAAAAACTAGCCATGTTGGGACTCCCCTGGTGTCCAGTGGTAAAGACTTCAAGCAGCCAATCCTCGGGTAAGGGGTTCGATCCCTAGCAGGGGAACTAAGATCCCACGTGCCATGTGGCACTGCCAAAAGATAAAAAACAAGCCCCGTTAGCAATGACACATGACACTATCATAATACATGGTATGCATCATAATACATAATACTTTGAAAACATGTTTTAAAACTGAAACATAAAAAATAGTCTCTTTCTAGTGGAGGCATCCCACATTTTCTAGAAGATAAAAAAACAAACCCAAGCAGTAGACATAAAGACAGGCCTTCAGAGCAACAATGCAACTCAGAGCAACAATGCAACTCCTTCAGAAAATCACAGTAATCCTCATTCAGAATCCTGTAGTGCTTTGTTATCCTAAGGTACTGAAATTTAATCAACTCAGACACTATACACAATTCTGAGTCTCTTCTCATTTTTTATTTTTTAAAAAAGACAAATTTAGGATTTTGTAAGAAATTACTGTTACATTTTTTTTTAATCTGTCAAGTACTACAGTAATGGAATAAATAAATAAGATTTTTTTAAGTTCAATGTTTATAGACATATTTATAAAAAAATGACTGAATTAGAAGACATTAAATAATGCTGACAACACACCAGGAGGGCATTAGGCAAGGAAAGGCACATCATTCCACCACAAGAGATAAAGACCATAATTGGAAGTCAATGACCAGTCAAAGCTTTAGGTCTTGTGGTAGTTTTCCTAGCTCTGGAGGGTCATTACGGTGGAACCTTCTTTATGGTACTTAGCTGAAATAAACAGCAATTGGAAAATTTTACTCGGTGACCTCAATGTATTATTTAAAAGAAAGCACTCTTGTAATAAGTCTGGTGTGTGAGGAGGGAAGGAACAAAAATCCAAAAAGGTTAGCTGATACTGGAAATCCTATTGACATATTAAAGATTTTTTTTAAAAAAGGTAAAATAAGGTTAATCGTCTTGACTGGCTGAACTGGAATTTTTGTAGTTAACAAAGTTAAAATTCCACGTAAACACTCCCTTTCTTTTAAACTGACAGGGTAGAGATAAAAAACTGCAGTATTTCACTTCAGATGAAACCATATGCCAATATTTAGGGAAAAGAATCTTAGATGATTTCCTTATTTTAGATAGCCTAAGTCCTTGAAGACAGCACTAATATCTCTGGCTGACTGGCTGGCTAAAGTAGCAAGGTGAATGTAAGTTTTGACAATGATAAGAAGTTTCCCAAAGAAACTATAAGTTCCAGTTAAACAGACAGTTACATTACTGAAAAGTCTAACAGACATCAGTAGAACTTGCTATGGGTCAACCTCCTCCTACCAATTTTCCTCACAAATTTGTGCCAAGACTCTACCCGATTTCTTCTGTCTGGACTCTGAACCTAGTTAGTTTGACTAAAAGATGGAATCACCCGGTTCCATTTAAATTTTAGTTGTGTTGAGAAACAACTGTCTGCATGAATAAATAAAATGGGTTTTCAGGATAAAATGGTATATCCACACACACAAAAAAAGTTAAATTAAAAACAATTCAGGGGGAGATAAGGGACAATATTAATATAAAAAAAATAAAAATGGCAACTATAAAGCAGGCAGCTTCCCACTCATGCCACACGATACGCCTTCATCAAGGTGTACTCCTTCCGGTTGGTGTGAGCGGCCCAGATGAAGAGAGCGGAAGCCATGAACTGCAAGGGAGCTGAGACGCAAGCCAGGCAGAAGGACCATCCGAATTCCCCAGACACATTCTCGGGTGGCTCCAGCTTCTGGTGGAGGAGTTCAATCCCGGCAACGTAACAGCTCACTGAGCCCAGGGTACACAGACCTTGGAGGAAAATTGAGGGGGAAAAAACAACACAGCTAGATAAGAGCGCGATAAGCACTTCCCAGGCAGCACAACGAGGCAGTGACATGTGACCCCTAAGGCAGCAAGGAGGTAGAACCACGTTTGAAGAAGAGACCCACCTGCAAGGAGATGGAGAACGCCTGTGGCAATGGTGGGGTACAAGCTTCGGCAGATACAAGCACAGAGTCCAATCAAAGCCCCAAAGCACATCAAACCTAGACTAACAAAAGGTAAAAGGAACTGGCAACGCCAAAGATCTGATTTCAAAAGAGAGAGAGAGAGAGAGAAATGAAATGTTACCATGATTTCAGTTTTCTCACAATGGCAATTTCTTTCATATTCTATTAGAACTTTTCTCAAAAACTGAGAATGGGGTGCTTTAATATTGAGGCTTTTTTCCTAAAGCACATTGTTCAAAACAGTGCTAACTTTCTTCTGACAAAAGCAAAAAGACACTAATAGTAAACTGTTACTGAGGGCTTCCTATGTATCAGGCACTGTTCTATACATGCTTTGTGTATTAAACCTCCCAACATCCCTATGAAGAAGGTACTATTACCTCCATTTTATAAATGAAGAAACTGAAAGAAGATAATTTGTACAAGGTAACACAGTAAGTGGAAGAACCAGACTGGAAGCAAAACCTTCTGGTTCTACATACATATTTAAGTCCTTATAGGATCTCAAGGCAGGAATAACAAGTAAATGAACAGTGATTATAAAAGACCTGTTAGAAGAATATACACAAAGCACAAAGCAGATCATCTGGTATACACCAGGCACTCAATAAATGGCAGTTGTAATTATCATACAGTCCCTCAACAACATGGGAAAAAAGCTGATGACTTTACAAAGAACCCCATTACCTTTTCAAACTATTTTAATTATTATCAATGTAGGAACATCAACTCTGAACCAAATTTTACCTTTTAGGGCTAGTTTTACTTTCTGGGACTACATCAACGTCTTTTTTTTCTAACTTCCCTTCAAACTCTGTTAGTAATAAACTTCCTATGCATTGACAGTGCAAATTGAATATGTGCCATTTATTCAACATCCCCTCTCATGAAACGGCCATTCTTTCCAGCAGGTTCCAGTAACTCTAATAGCCTAGAGACTAGGTCCAAATCTGAAGATAGTACTTCCCAGGCAGCCTGACCATCAAGGAACAGAATGCTCTTAATAAGCACTTTGGTTTTTGACATCTACACTTTTGTTACCACCACCTAAGACTAGATCAATACTTTTGGGAGGCCTGATACTTAAGTTGACTCATGTAAAGCTTGCAGTCAACTTTTTTCACATATCCCTATTTGAACACAGAAAAATGAAGCATTTAACTTAAATATAGAAATTTATTATTTATTACTATTAAATTTCCTCTTTAAATAGGCCTATTAATAACATCTTTTGGTGAATATAGATTCTGTCATCCAATGTATTAGCTGCTCAACTTCATATCTGCAATTTGGTTAAGTACGTATCTAACTTCTAAAATATATTATCAACAGGACAGAGTTTGTTGGGATAACATTAAAGATCTTAAGTTGACACAATGTACGTCATCTTGTTCCAAAAACAGAGTTCAACAAAAGACATATAAAGTTATTTTCCTTTTTTCCCAACAAAGTACTCACAGGTCCGAAGCAGATCAATCCCACTGTTGTGGTTTCCAGGCTCAACAAATTTCTCCATGAACTGCTCATTTAGGGTGAAACTCATGCATTTTGTGACCATATCAAATGACTCTGCAATAAGAAAAACAACGATTGCTTGTTGCTTTTTTGCTTGTTTTAATTTTAAACATTTAACAAAAGTCTCTTTCAGTAATTATTCTCCGAAATAAAAGGCGATATGGAAAAATGTTCTCAGGAGAGCAGCCTCTCTGACCCTGAGTGGCACAAAGGATGGACCAAGGCCCAAGAGATCAAGGGTTCTAGCAGCAGGTGTATGACATGGGTACAGGAAGGCAAAAAAAAAAGGAGTAAAATGAATGAGAATAGATAGTGAGACGACTACAAAGGAGGAGGGGACAAAGACTAAAATAAATAGTAACTTTGATCTTCTCCCCCAAACCTATTCCATCAGTCTTGTTCCCCATCTCAGGTAAACGACAATTCTATCCTTCTCATTCCTCAGACCAGAAACTTTACAGATTCATTCTTGCCCATAAGCGTTTCATCAGGAAATCCTGCAGGCTCTATCTTCAACATATATCTAGGATATCTAGGATCAGGCACTGCTCAATACTACCACCCTGATCCGAGGCGTAACCATCTTTCACCTGAACTGGTTCAACAGCTTCCTAAGTCTCCTGGCTACTGTATTGCCCAGGTACCTGCCTGTTTTCAACACATCTGCCTAGGTGACCAGATTATCTTTCCTCTGCACAAAGCCCCACAATGGCTCCATCATACTCAAGAGTAAACTCCGAAGTCCTCATCACACCTAGAGAATCCTGCATGATTTCCCCTACCCTCACTCCCAGAATACATCTCTGACCGCCTACCCAACTCTCCCCTCGCCCCCTCCCTTCCAGCCTAGGGAATTCCTTGCTGGTTCTTGAGCATTTCAGGCATGCTCCCACCACAGGGCCCTTACAGTTGTTCCATCCATCCTAAATGAGTGTCCCTGTTTCCACAATTACCCACAGGGTCAACTCCTTCACCTTTATCAAGTCTTTACTCAAGTGGTGTTTTCCTGCTGTAGCCTATCCTGCCTTTACTATTGAAGAACATAACTTATATGCCCACCAACATCCCCTTCCCTATGTACTTTCAGATCCCCTTTATTTTGCTCTATTTTTCATAGCACATCACCTTCTACTATATAATTATTTATTCTGTTTATACTGTTATACCTGTTTATTGCCAGTCAGCCCTTACTAGAATGTTAGCTCCCCAGGACTAGGGATTTTTGTTTTTTTCCCTAACGTACTCCTAGCTCCTAGGCCCTGAACATGAAAGTGTGCAATAAATAAATAGTTGTTGACTGAATAATAAATGATTGTTAAAATTCAAGTATCAAGTGCTCCTATGCTCTCATATGCTCTCAACTGAACATTTTAAATAAAATTCAACCAACTTTCACCTCTTTCCAATCACTTTCTTTTCTGTATAAAATCACACTATCATCCTTCTGATACATAGTATTTCAAGCCTATTGTGCTGTGATTTGAATACAGTACCCCCCACCAAGAGGCCAACAGAACTAGTCATAAATATAAACAAATTTATAAAGCTGTTCCCTGCAAAGAACTCTAAAGTTTCCATCTTAACAACAGGAAATTAGAATTTTTCAATGTTAAGAATGCTTACAAAATAAACCTGAGAGGTAGTTTCTTAATTTTTTTTTATTCTCATAATGCATATTTTTAACCCCAAAACTCCATCAAAATGGTTGTAAAACGGTCTTAAACAAGCAGATTTAAACACAGAGTTGGCCAAATTATATCGTCAAGATTTAGAGGGCAAATGATAATATCTACTAAAACACAACTACATATAAATGACTATTAGTTCATATGTATTGACTTGATTTTGTATACTAGTACTTTTAACAATTACCAAGTATTTAAAATCTTCCAAAGTACTTTTCTAATTATTTTCTCACAACATGTGTGAGATTAATACAACTATTTCAATGTGTGGCTAAATAAGTACAAAGATTTAAAATGGTTTTCTCCAAGATAAGGACAGTTACTCATCCAACCAATATTAATGAGTACAATGGTAATTAACGGAAACTGAGGAGAGAAGATGATAGGGAAAAAGAAATACATAAGATTTAATTATTTGGGAAGAGAAAGAACCCACAAACTTTCTTGTACCTAACTGGCCATCACCGTATCACTTTCTCTATTATTGAGCAGCCACTGCAGAAGACGCAAGAGATGGGAGCTCAATTCCTGGGTGGAGAAGATGCCCTAGAGCAGTAAATGGGAACCCACTCCAGTATTCTTGCCCAGAAAACACTACGGAGAGAGGAGCGTGGCGGGCTCCAGTCCACGGAGTCACAAAGAGTCGCCCACGATGGAGTGTGCGTGCACACAAACACACACACACACGCAAACACAAACACACACACACACACACACACACACACAGAGGAGACAAACGTTACAATAAGAGAAATACCTGTCCTTTCTGGTGGGCTATACCAATATGTGTTTTGGGGTATAGTGATACACCGTCTCCACAATCCCACTGTGCCATTATATCGGAAAAGTGCATCACTGTAAGTCTTTTCATCTGCCTCATCACTAGCAAAGTCATTCCAGATGCTTTTGTTCAAATCGCTGGAATTTTCTTGAACTGGACTTCGATACTCATACCAGAAGTCTGTGCCAATTGAGGCTGCCATGTAGATGGTAGAAATGAGGCTAAGTACACAAGCAATGACAAACGCTGTAGCAAAACGGTTATCCATTCTGGCATTCAGACTGCTCTGTTTAGAAGTTGAAAAAGAAGAAAAGTTAGACTTCAAGGACAAGTACAGATTTTGAAAGGAATTATGTCAAAATCACCCTTTACCCTATTCCCCATCCCACGGCTCTTTAAAGTAATGTATAATCATTAATGAATTATTTTTAAAAAGAAGCAAGCATGTTTTAAATTAAATTCAAAACAAAACTCATTATCATGAAAGTACTTATTGAATGCTCACATACCCAGGATGCTACGGAGACAGAAGTCTTGTTCTCTAGTCTATCACCTGCACACTAAAACAGACAACACTGAAATGGACATACACATTACAGATACAAACAGTAGACATGCCCAGAGTCAGCAATGTACCTTGCATACATTTTTAATGACAGACTGCAGAGCATTAAGTGTTCTGGGTCTGAGTGTGAAAAAGGCATTGGAAAAGGAAGCAGAGGAAATCGGCTCCTCCCAGTTTCCTCTGAACAGGGAAACCTTTTAAAACAAGGTAAAGAAAGAGTAAGGAGCTATTTAGAAGACAGCTGAAAATGTTTGTTAGCCCAGAGAGAAAGGTTGTTCCAGGCGCACGGAGGAGTAGAGAATAATAATATGCAGTAATGCTAGATACCAATCTGCTCCTAATCCATTAAAGCTAAGCCAAGCTCCCTTCCGCTGTCAAAGTCTTCACTCTTCCTACCTACTCGCCCCGTTCCTTATACTTTTGAACCTCCTCATCTGGAAACTAAGATTCCCTCCTCAGCCGGAAGGAAAAACTCTGAATTAGGCAAATATTAACACTCCAAAGGCGTGGACTGGGCTGAATGGCAATAGTAAATGGCCGCAGTACAATGACTCAAGGCGGATCAAGCTGAGTCAAATACTGCAAATATATACCATGAACCGCGCCAAACACCTTAAAAAGGAGCTCGAAAACAAGCTCGCAAACTGGGGTTGCTGAGTTTGGAAAATGGCAAGTGACTCAGGAGAGATCAGAGCAATCACAATCGTTAACGATAACTCCAGAAGTTGGGTTTGTATTTTTACTCTTTTTAATTCTTTTTCATCCTGACGCTCTCAAATGACCTTAAAAGGTCCCGAGCACCGGGAGCGGCGGTTCGCCCAGGCCGGACGCCTGGAGCTGTCACCTCGCGAGTCGCACCCTGGGGCTAGGGGTGGTAGAGACGAACGGGCTCTGGGGCGGGGCAGCCCTGAGCGGTCCCTGGCCAGGGGCCCCAAATACCCGAGAAGGCCCCTCCCCGGAACAATCAGCCGAGGGAAAAGCCGGCGATAGCCCCCCGCTCAGGACCCAGACGGTCCGGGCCGCGCCCAGGGAGGGGGCCCCCTCTTCAAACTGCTGGAAACCTCGAACGGCTACGCGACCCCCGCCCAGCGACGTCGGCCCCGCTCACTCACCGCCCATCCTCCTGCTCCGCCAGCTTCGCCCTCAAGCTCAAACCACAGCACCCTACTCTCCCCGCGCCTCCTCTGACGCACTTCCCTGCAGAGCCCGCCCCCTCCATAACTCCCGCGCCTCCGCCTCCGCCTCCACCCCAGGCCGGGCCCGGCCCCGGAGCCGAGGGGACTTGTGGGAGTTGTAGGAGGGACAGAGGAAAAGCCGCGGGGCGCGGCAGACGGCATTCCCGGCGCCGGGCGCGGCGCATTGTGGGAGATGTAGTTCGGCTTCCGAGGAGCGCAGAAGGGAGGTCTGAGCTGATTGTTTCTTGTAGTTTACTACGAAGGTCCACCGAGTAAGGCGAGGTGTTTCGGGTCACTACAAGTCATTAATTATGACTAATGTGATTCAGATTTTCCAGTTGTGCTTTCCCTACCACCACCCTACTTGTGAAACAACGATGCGATTATCCTTTTAAAATAGTAACCCAATAATTTAAAAACTCCTACAGCCTCACTCCCATTGCAGCAGATAGTCTTTCTGGTTTTATGGCTTAAGTTTAGACTAAGAAGGATGTAACCTGACAGAGTCCCTTGGACTGCAAGGAGATTCAACCAGTCAATCCTAAAGGAAATCAATCCTGAATATTCATTGGAAGGACTGATGCTGAGCTGAATCTCCAATACTTTGGCCACCTGATGGGAATAACTGACTCGTTTACAAAGCCCCTGTTGCTGGGAAAGATTGAAGGCAGGAGGAAAAGGGGAAGACAGAGGATGAGATGGTTGGATAGCATCACCATCTCAATGGACATGAGTTTGAATAAACTCTGTGAGTTGGTGATGGACAGGGAGGCCTGGAGTGCTGCAGTCCATGGGGTCGCAAAGAGTTAGACATGACTGAGCGACTGAACTGAACTGAACCTGACAGAAAGCATCCAAATAGAATGTAATGACATTCTTCAGGTTTCATATAATTTTTGGCTGCTTTCTCCTAAAGGCAAATGATATTTTCTCTTTGTTGTAGTAAAGCTTCCTTTTTAAATAAATTGGTTAAACTATTAATACCAAGCATCTCAGATATGTCAAAAGTGAATACTTTTTTAATGTAGTATGAAAAAGACTGAATTTTGGAGAACATTGCATTAAACAGGTAAGGTCATGAGTGACCTCAGAGATTGCAGGTGGCTGTACGTACAGCAAGGGGCGGCAGAGGATGAGATGGTTGGATGGCATCATCTGCTCAGTGGACACGAATCTGAGCAAACTGGGGGAGATAGTGAAAAACAGGGAAGCCTGGTGCTGAAGTCCACTGGGTCGCAAAGAGTTGGACACGACTTAAGCGGCTGAACAACAAGAAGCAGGGCACAGAGGCAACGAAAGGATTCTAAGGCTTCAAGTCCTGCATAGAAATCCACAAACAAGAAACAGTGACATCTCTTTAGTGACCCATGTGGACCCAAGAATGTGCTCTGAGAACAGCAAATGTCGGATTTCTCAACAGATATCTACAGAGACCAGGCTTGCCAGGTGGCTCAGTGGTAAAGAATCTGCATGCAATGCAGGAAATGTAGGTTCAATCCCTGGGTCGGGAACATCCCCTAGAGAAGGAAATGGCAACCCACTCCAGTATTCATACCTGGGAAACCCCATGGACAGAGGAGCCTAGCAATCTACAGCCCATGGGGTCTCAAAAGAGTCAGAGTCAACCTATTGACTAAACAACCACCACCTACAGAGACAGCCAACTCAAGGACCAGCAGGACTCTCGAACACTTCCTCATCCCCCAAATCCCTTTGAATTTGGCCACAGCACAGGAAAAAAGTGGGAGCCCCAGTCTGATACTAAATTTCTACTACCCTGATAGACTGGAGGTGTATCATTTGTTTTTCTATTTTTAGCCATATTTCTTTTGCCAGAATTGGTGAACTGGTATTCACATCCAGTATATAATTAAAATAAGGTAACAGCCAAATATAATATTCAAAATTACCAGATTTTCATGTAGGATATCTGATCAAAGGAGAAGTTTGTTAGAGGCACCAACTAGAGAAAATGATGGAGGTGCCCAGGCAAATTGTTAATGCATAATGAAACTCCTCAATGCATTTGTTCACCAGGAAATGTTTTCACCCATTGGCTTCATTAGAAATTCCCTACCTTCTCTCTCCAGTGAAGTGGAACTATCTCTCTAGAGAAGTTACATGGTAAATAAAACCAGGCCTAAGAGAAGTTTGAAAAAGGAAGAAGAAGACACCGCCTCAGTTCACAAACAAGGAAACTGAGCCCAGGGAATAACTGACTTCAAGCTTGAATGTTGGTGTGAGCTGACTAGCTTTGTGACATTAGAGAATTTACTTAACCTCTTTAAGTCTCAGTTTAATTTTATCTAAATTATGATGTTGACAATAGCACCTATTCCATGTGATCATTGTGAGAATTAAATGAGAAAATACATATAAAATACCCAGTCTAGAGCCTGGGGCATACTAGACAATTGCTAAACTATTAGTATTTGCAACTATTTGTTCAACACCTATAATCTTTGAATGGGGGCAATATAAACGCGTCTTTAAAGCTCTCAACTCCCCTGGAGGCTGGAAGTAAGCCGTTTATGTTGATCCCTGCTCACTTCAGGAAGTTTAGGAACCTTGGTGGTGGTTGTTGTTTGTTGTTTAGTTGCTCGGTCGTGTCTGACTCTTCGACCCCATGGACTGTAGCCCACCGGCTCCTTTGTCCATGGGATTTCCCAGGCAAGAATACTGGAGTGAGTTGCCATTTCCAACCTCTGGACCAACTGCCAAATGGCTAGGAAGGACTTGCCAGGACCAGGTTTGGGGCATCCTCGCTCAGCTTCACTCAGGAGATTACCAGGCTGGGCTCATGGCATATGAAAGTCCTCATGATTCAGCAGATGGGTGTGTCTGGAGAGACCTTCAAAGGAGGATGACGCTTTCAGCTATGAAATCTGCAGAATGCCTAGAAAACACGACACATTTCAGTCAGCACTTTAGCATGGACCTGGGAGTGCCTGCACGTTTGAGGTTGTGACCTTCCTGCCCACTGAGCCCAGAGGACTTGACCCGCTCCATCACACCCAGTACCACCAAGCGCACGGCCATGTTTCTGGTCTATCTTTACATCTTGGGGTTTCTGTCTTCTATCTGTGCTAGCTGCTCATGTGGATAAGCAAAATAAATGCTTAATAAATTCATGCAGTTAAATTTGTCTTCATTTCATACTGCACTGTTTGGCAAACAGTAACTTCCCTGATGTATTTTCACATAAAGATGATTTAGTGCAACCAAGTACAGATTATGAAATTTAGAGTTAAAAGCAAAGTTGAGCTAGTCCTCTGGCTTAATTTGTTAAGGATGGTTCTAGTTTCAGCACGAAGGTATTGTAATTATACTCTACTTTAAATAAACCAAAAATCTAGTTATGCAGATATTATAACTTCTTTTTATTATGTGCTTACAAAAACAACTCTTTATGTGAGAATTCCCTCCAATACAAAACTCCCTAATATACTTAAATATTACTTTTAATTGTACCTTTTTAAGGAATTAAAAATTATATTAAGCAAAATATATATTCCTTATATTTTTCTCATCTAGTTTTGTCCTGATTGTTTTCATTATGAACTTTGGAGTGCAGAAAGAAGGAAAATAAAAAAATATCAAGTTCTAGGTTCTAATCAATAATGATCCTCAAAAAGATGTATCAGTCTTTGAATTTCTTTGTACCAATTCACTACAGAACAATGCAAAGTTAATCAAGGACAAGGCAAATAAAAAGTGTGTCCAAAATAGCTCTTTCCTTTTAATAATTCCTGTCCGATGTTACACAGAGAAGAAAAACAAACTATAGTTGTTCAGATCTCTATGTTTCTGAAGGACAGAGAATGGATCATGTGTAAACAAGAAGTTTAATTTGTCCTTTATTTTAAAATCATCAGTGTGAATCTTTGGTAGATAACCTCTTTCTGGGTCCCAGTGTCCTCATTAGTTAAATGGTTGCGCTAGATGATCACTAATATCACTTAAAGCTGTACAGTTTTATGAATTATAATTCTGCTAGAAGAAAGTGTAGCTCTGAAGTATGGTTGCTATAGGTCCACAGCATTGCAGTTTCATTGGGAAATACATGTATCCTATACCTCCAGCTGAAGTAAAATATAAGAAGACAGAGTGGGAAATGTAGATGGACAAAGAAAAAGGATGAAAGCTGCATGCCTGCTGATTAGAAAAGATACAGCATTTCAGACCTTTGCTGTTTCAACAAAATCAGTAATCATGGAAAATGGAAGCTGTCAGAGAAGTTTGTGAAAAGTACTTATTCATCGCAGATGATTCAAAACTCAAGCTAATTCAGTCCAGTTCTGCAAACACTTATTGACCACCAATTGCATGCCAGACAATATGCTGGGTACCAGAGACAAAAATACAATTTTTGCTGTACGTAGCCTAAACCCAGATTAAATCAACAGTTATGAAGAAGCCTGAAGTGTAGGTGCCTAGAATACTACGGTCACTGCTGTTTAGGTAAATATGAGATACCAAGAGAGAAAAAAATCCAGCAAATGAAGTTGGGGATAATAGCAAATAGGTGCCACTTAATTTGGCATGATATAGTACATTATATTGCACTAAACTCTCCTGTCAGAATAAAAAATAAATAACTCAGTATAAACAGAGCTCTTAAACTGGACTGTTTAAATGGTTATACATGTTATGATACTCAAATAAGAAATGGACAAGCAAGTGTTTCTAACAGATGAATAAACAATCACTCTATCTGATAAGATTTATGAAAAACAAATAGTTTGCTTCATGATCTTTGTCATTTACCCTGGGACAAATCAGTACAGCATATATGAAGAGATTTCTTTCTGCTGGGCCATCTGCTACGTAATGTAATGAATCCTAACTAATATGGGGGTCAGAATGCTTGGTAGAGAAGAAACAGAAGTAATATATCGCAGTGCCAGTTGGGGTGGCTATATTCACACAAAACCTCCAATCCACCCGTGAAGCAGAGGCTGTGAATCACTGCTATGGCTGAATGATGATAGTAGAGCCACTCGGGCAGATGCTTCATGGACAAAAGCTTACTTTCTCCCCATTTTTAACATTCAAGTCAGTTCTGAACATATCTCAGGAATTAGGACACAGAGTAAGGGAGGGTTTAGAGGTCTAAATTAATTCCTAAAAATTTCTGAGATCCAGGCCAGAAGATTTCTAAGAAGTTCGAACTTCTTAGGTGATTTTTAAACTTTTAAAAAAATTAGCCAAAAAAATAACAAACATAATGTATAAAGATGGTTAAGATGTGTGAATTACAACAGTGGCCCTAAACTTTAGTGTGTTTAAGAATCATGGAATGTTTATTAAAGCCCTAGACTCCACTCTTAAAGACTCTGATTCAATAGCTCTGGGACCAGGTTCAGAAAGCCAAGTTTAGTAGGTATCCCAGGGGACTCTGATGTAGATAATGTGGTCTAGCATCCACAAATTCAAAACAATGACTTTAAGGGGTCAAAAAAATGACTACAGTTGAGTAATTACTATAAGCTTGAGGCCAGTGGAATGATATCAGATGGTCTCTGCATTTAAGTTGCTCATGACCAGCTCAGGAGGTCAGACACCAAAACAACTTACCATGTGAAATGAGGCAATAAGTAGTTTACAAGTAGGATTGTGAAAGGTCTTAGAACATACAAAGGTGTAGGCAATCATCTCTGTTATCCAAAAGGATGAGGGAGGGGGTATATCTTTTCTGGAAAAATAATTCTTAAGAGGTGACATGTGTGCTGTAATTCAGTTACTGATATTTATAGCTTACTCTTTTTGTTTTGTTTTGTTTTTTTTCTGGTCATCACCTGTTCATACTGCCTTTTCATATGCTTATGGTGTCCAGTGTTGTTTTTGATTTTTGGTCTATTTGGTTTCTTCATGTTTATTTCAAAGGGCATTCAAGGTTAAAAATGATCGTCACTGAGGACTTATTTAGAACTATGACCTCTCCTACTCTATCTAGTCAGCTTTTATTGTGGGTTCTGTCTTATAACAGCTTTATACTCTTTGAGTTATTAAAAGGCCAGAACTATGCTGTTTGGTCTTCCCTGGTAGCTCAGCGGGAAAGAATTTGCCTGTCCTGCTGGAGCTGCAGGAGACTCGGTTAGATCTCTGTGGGTCTGGAAGATCTCCTGGATGAGGGCATGGCCACTCAATCCAGTATTTTTGTCTGGAGAATCCCATGGACAGAGGAACCAGAAAGAAGTGTCCTTAGGGTCACAGCTGGACATGACTGAAGCAACTTAGCATGCACGCTCACAGTATGCAATTTGTTCCCTTTTTTGGCTCAAAACAATTTTCTAACTCAGGTTCCAAAATACTGCTGATCTGTGATGGGTATTCTCACACTGCAGCATTCTACCACTAATTACCATAATCCAAAGTGACTGTATGATAAAGCAAATCATTTTGCCTACAGCTGCTTCAAAGTGTACTGAGGAAGTCAGACTTATTTGAGATAATTGACATCAGCAGGCCAACAACTTTGGAATGCTGAAAGAAAATTTTAGGCCTGAAGAATAAATGTACAGCCAGATGTGATCCTCTGGAGTATGAGCCTAAACTCTTTTCCATTGTTACAGTAATTGTATGCGGAATTCCTGAGATATATCTAAAATTTGTTTAATATTTTACGCCTACAATCAACATTGTCTCTTTAAATAGCAGAACTTCTGGCTGAAGAATGTGAAATTCTAATAGTACAATTAAGGTACATTTACAAGTACACTTTAAAATATCTATATATATAATTGCTTCTTTAATGCAAACACACACACACATTGTGTTTAAATACTTGAATCTTTTACGTTTACTTCATCAGTCCTTTTCAAGTAAACATTGTCCTACTTCAAACTGACAGGCTGAGTTATTCTATTAAATATTTAAGGCTTGCCCAGTGGGAAAGATTTCTATCCCAGAAATGTCAAAAAGTTAATTAGCAGATTTCCTCTGCAGCCTATACTTAGGGAAGGATATGGCCTCCCACACTCCCTCAGGACAAGGCAGAGCAGCCTAGGACACAAAAGAAGACAGACTGAGGCCCATAAATCAACTCCCTGGTGACTTTCTGGAGCTGCCCCAGATCAGGGGAGCCCTCCCCCTTCCCTGACCCAGACTGCAGGCCTGAGACAGAATAGAACATGGCAATCGAACATGGCAGGAGGGAACCCAGCAGGCAGGATCGTTCTTTACAGCATGTTAATTAATTATGGAAGGAACACAAATTCAGTGGAAAGGACTTCGAATGTTTAGCAATTATATTTTCTTCTATGCAATGGTAATATCAACCCAAAACTGTAATTTTGAGGGTGACATGAGATGGAGGGACAGTGAGAAGGACACAAGAGTGGGAGGGAGCCTTGAGCTACTTCAGCCAGTAAAGAATTGAAATAGGAGTCGGCTTCAGAATTTGTCGTGTTTCACTATGGTCTTTCTAAACAAAGGGGAACAGATGAGAGAAAAATATGATAGAATCCTTCTGCTACTAGGCTGACCCTCAAGTGTTTTGAATGAACCTCAAATCTTCCTTCTGTAGTGCTTTCCTTTTATACTGGACACTGCATCGTAGTGTCAACTAACATATGGTTGTCCATTGCCAAGTCAGTCATCCCAAAAGGGAAGTTCACTGATGTGTGGAGGCACTTATCGAAAAGTCAGAGTTCAGAAGCTAAAAAAAATCAGTCCTATCGAATTGAAGTGTAAAAAGGAGTACACAAGAGGGAATGTAGAGACTGGTGGAGGATAGTTATTTGAGGGTTCATAAGGAGAATTCCTTCAAGGATATTATTCAAGGATATTAATGCTAACAAAAGGAAACCGTGTTGGTCGAATTACAGTAACAGAAAACAATGGAAAAATAGCAGTTTGTGGCTTTTAAATCTGTGTTTGTAAGCTGCATAAATAACAACAGTGCCTGCAATTAAACCCCAATGAATTCATCCTTGCTAAATTATACTGGATCAAAGTAACATTTCTAAAACACCTACTAGGTGCAAGGTACTATGCTAATTGCAGTGAAAAACACTTTAAGTAATAATACAAACACAAGACATGGTCCCAGCATTTGGGTATTTTTAAAAACTTACTGAACAAGACAGAATCTATTATGCATGAACTGAAAGAGCCAAATAAATTAAAAGAAACTAGCTGGAATCATAATGTTTGCCATAGATGCAGACTGGTATTATCTGGGAAAATTTCAGTTTACTCTCCATGCAATGGAAGGCTATTGAAAAGTCTTCATATTCCACCAACGATATAATTGAAAAGAGTACCTTGAGCATCACCACCTTAAAATTCTAAAAGTAAAACAAAATCTCATCTGTGAAACAGAAGGCTAGATCAAAAGGATTCTCGATGTTAGAAAAGCAAAGATGTCTTTAAATTAAAGTAGGTAGGAGAAAAAAAGTTAATTCATCTCCTAACTGCTGGATTTAAAGAAATAAATTGTATACCTTGAAGAAAAAAGCCAAAGAGCACCTCAGTTTTCTGTGTGTGTGTGTGTGTGGTGTATTAGTTGTTCAGTCGTGCCTGGCTCTTTGCAGACCCCATGGACTGTAGCCCTCCAGGCTCCTCCGCCCATGGAATTCTCCAGGCAAGAGAATTCCTGGAGTGGTTGCCACGCCCTCCTCCAGGAGATCTTCCTAACCCAGGCATTGAACCTGAGTCTCCTGCATTGCAGGCAGATTCTTCACCATCTGAGCCACCTCCTGGGCAAATGCAAATAAAGCAAACCATAACCACAACCACCCAGCACCTATCAGGGTGGTGTTCCTTGTGGGCCCTCTCAGAGGGTTGGTAGAAACTATGTTTTTTAATCTCTGTTTTTATGCTTGTCCCAAGATCTTTTAAGGAAGGGGGTGGGGCAGGGGGAAGAGGCAGACACTATATAAAAGAAGCTGCCTTGAGAATTTTTCTAAAATACATAACAGAAACTTCCTAGGTTAGGAAACTTACCAGATTTGGCAGCTGATGGACCCAGTGATGGACCCAGAAGCAACCCCAGTTTACTTGGAATATTTTTTTGTTACAAGTCACAATCCTGATATTGAAGAGACCCACTCCCATGTTCCTTATACATCAGTCTTCCTTCCGGTCTTCTACACAGCTGTGTTCCTGATTGGAGTGTCCGGGAACCTCATTCTCATGAGCGCACTGCATTTCAAACGGGGCAGCCGAAGACTGATCGACATCTTTATCATCAACCTGGCTGCCTCCGACTTCATCTTCGTCATCACCTTGCCTCTCTGGGTGGATAAAGAAGCATCTCTGGGGCTGTGGAGGACAGGCTCTTTCCTGTGCAAAGGAAGCTCCTACGTGATCTCAGTCAACATGCACTGCAATGTCTTCTTGCTCACCTGCATGAGCGTGGACCGCTACCTGGCCATTGTGTGTCCCGCTGTATCCAGGAAAGTCAGGCGGAGAGACTGTGCCTACGCCGTCTGTGCCAGCGTCTGGTTTGTCTCCTGCCTCCTGGGGTTGCCTACCCTTCTGTCCCGGGAGCTTACCCTGATTGAGGGTAAACCATACTGTGCAGAGGAGAGGGCCACTCCCAGCAAACTGACGTGGGCCCTGGTGGCCTTAATTTTGACCTTTTTTGCCCCTTTGGTGAGCATTGTGACCTGCTACTGTTGCATCACAAGGAAGCTGTGTGTCCATTACCAGCATTCAGGAAAGCACAACAAAAAGCTGAGGAAGTCCATAAAGATCATCTTTATCGTTGTGGCAGCCTTTGTCCTCTCCTGGCTGCCCTTCAACACTTTCAAGCTCCTGGCTATCGTCTCTGGGTTGCAGGAAGAGCTCTACCTGTCCTCAGCCTTTCTGCAGCGGGGGATGGAGGTGTGCGGGCCGCTGGCATTTGCAAACAGCTGCGTCAACCCCTTCATCTACTATGTCTTTGATGGTTACATCCGCCGGGCCATCGTGCGCTGCCTGTGCCCTTGCCTGAAGAACTATGACTTTGGGAGCAGCACCGAGACATCAGACCTCACGAAGGCTCTCTCCAACTTCATACATGCAGAAGATTTTGCCAGAAAGAGGAAGAGGTCTGTGTCACTCTGAAAAGGACAGTGACATTTCGAGCTCTGTGGATGGGGTTGAAGGGTTCATTTGTGCCCACGATAAAGAAAGAAGAAAAATATTGCTAACAGTATTCATATTGCTTATGAATACAAGGAAGTGTTAATTTTTAAAGAGATATCTAGAAAGTCACGGTGTTCATGGATATAATTAGGTTACATGCTATTTTCTGTTTGTTTGAGCTGAATAGCTTTATTTGACCCTTGTCAGTCAAGTTCACTGGGCAAAATACAACTTTTATACATCTTGAACTCTGAGATAAGGCTCCTGCTTGGACCAGTTCCTTTCTTCGTGGGTGTTAATGCACATTCCAGCCTTTTCCTCTCTCAGGAAACTTGATCCACACCACCCATCATACTGGGCTCCAGAGTGGACTGCATGTAAAGGATTCCGCCCAGTTGTAACTGGTGAGAAATATGGTGACAATGCAGATTTAAAAAAACTGTAATATGCCTGTGCTCAGTACTTACTTGTTCCTGAATAATGAAGGTTCTGGCCTTAATCTTTGACACTTAATTTGGTGATTCCATACCACCTTCCAACATTGTCTTTCACCCTATACCATTCACAGTGACTTTGGGCTGGTGAAACCTCATGGGGAAAAAATCATTTTGTATTGTGTTTATGATTTAGTACTTACTTTACCACTTGGTCTTCAAGAATATTTTGACATAGAATAAGCTTTGACTTCTGTTTTCCTTATAAGATATATTGGTCAAAATGTATCTCATTATAATGGTGTAATAACTACTTTTCAATGAGGTTTCACTGTGCTCTTGTTTTCTTTTTAGCCTTTATAAATTAGGATATGACTTTGTTTTAATTACATGTTTTTAATTACCCAGTTATCTAGTCATCAAATAAAAATGTTACTACTACTATAACTGGAGGTCATCTAATGCTTAGCTCATGCAGATTATCATTTTGTATTTTAAATAAAATGTAAATGCTGCACATTCCCTAGAGCATCATTTGCTTGGTGTTTGTAATTTCACAATTTGATCCAATAATATAGGAAGATAGGATGCTCAGTATTCAGGTAAAGGGGAAAATCTGTAACAAAAATGTTACTGATATTTTACATGCAGTTTTTTGAAACTCAGAGACCTTGCAGAACTTCTTCAATGATAAATATTTACTGAGCCAATTCATACCTATATTCCTTTTAAAAATTTGAAGTGAAAATATAATTAGCAGCAACCACAAAAGACTGCAGCAGCAAGCCTACTATTGAAAATACCTTTCGATTCAAGATAAAGTAGGTTTTTTACCTCTACTGTTGACACAAATGAACTACTATTTTAGTTTTAAATGTTAGGTTTGAAAACCAGAGAAAGCTTCAAATCTTTTCAGAGACTAGATAATTCAGGATCATCCTCTGTACCTTAATATTAAGAGAAATCTCAAATATTGGGCAACTTCTTATAGTCTGTTTAGAAGTTCTGGGTTTTATAAATTGGTTAATTTATTAATTTCTCTTAAATTTTTATTAAATAAAAATATAATCTCATTATAAAAGTGTTCATCTATGCTGTATTAATTGCTATTAACATTTCAATTAACACTGATACCCTAACAGTGTTTTAACAAATTATCATAGATATAGAAATAAAAAGACTGTAAATCATAAGAAATAAATTTTCTTGGAAAGCTTCAAAAGTGAATTCAACATAATTAAATAGATTTCCAAGCGTTAAGTAAAAACAAAATACAAGATATTTACTTTTCAAAAACAAATCAACAAAAGCACTACAATTAATCAGTGCTTTTGAGAAATGCTACCTTTAGAAAACAGCCCACTCAGCTGCAGTATTTGCTAGGAAATGAGAAAACCTGGGTTACTTGGCTTAACTTCACCTTTAATGTTGGGACATTGAACAAATCATTTTAATCTTTCATATCTAAATGTCATTGGTAATATCCATGTCCATAGCATCCTTAAGTTTATTTTAAGACTAACAATACAAGTGAAAAGTTTCCTTAAATAATAAAAAGTTATGTAAAATGATGGTTTCTATCATTAATTATTGCATGTTACATAAAAATTTCCAAACTAGATTATGAAATGACTCTTAATCATTTTTATTTAACAAATATTAGAGTCTATCTTACTTCTGTATCATCCCTTTTATTTTTCCATTTTAACACTGAAGAAAATATACTGTCGCACTTTTAAATACTTTAAGTGGATATGCTGTGTGCCTTATAAAAATCTTAGCATATTTTATATTCATAAGGTACCAGCGATGGAAGGAATATAGGCATAATTTTACAGATAGCATAACTCTGATAGAAAAAATTATAAATGTAATTAGTTGGTCTATCACTATGAAAAGTTGCCAGTAAAGCTCGCCATTAAAGCCTCTGAATAAGAAGTTGTCTGATAACTTATAATTAATTTAAAAATTAAAGCACACACAGTCACAAACACACATTTAGTCCATTTGGGTCATGTAGAAAGATAAAAACTAACCTGACATTCCTGGGAGTCCCACAGTTTGTCCTCTCTAACAAGCCAAAATCACCTCAGAGTGAGCACAACACTCAGTAAGGACAGTCTTAAAGGAAGCTATGTGCGTGACTGAAAGGAGACATAAGTTACTAGGGGTCACAGTTAATTTTTAAATAGACACAGAAATACACAGTATGATGGGAAGCTGAGTAAAAGAAATCTTCCTCTGATTCATCTTGACTCCTCAAATCATTCTCTATTCCCCCAAGAGATATCAGAAGTGAGAAATGACTTATCGAATGCACATGCCACGGAGAAAAGTGAGGCTCAGTTTTCCTGCACAGCTCATTCACAAAAGTCAAGCAATAGTAAAAGAATTACAAGTTTGTTTCTCAAAGAGCCCCTGATGGAGCCTGCTATCAAGATGATGCCTCCACCGTGACAGAGAGCAATGCCATCCAGAGGAAAAGGAGAAGGATAATCCTACCTACTGGAATATTTGTAAATGGTACTGGATTCAATTGCTTTCTACAGAGCTTGTAGGTTGGACTATCCCTTGCAAATGCCTGTTCTTATTTTCCATTCTTTTCTTTGAGTCAACATTCTTTGCTTTTATCGATGCTGTGAGTAAGCAGTTACTACTAGACTTTACATGTCAGCAGACAGAAAAAAACTACTCCACTTTGACTTTTCCTTGCAGATGAGTGCCTCTTGTCTCTTATTTTTGTCAGTTTCTTAACAGCTACATTTGCAAAATGTATCCGATAAGTGGAAATTTCATCCTCAGATTGATTAAACTTCAACATTAAAACTTTAAATATCTGATGTGTCAAACTATTAGCAAAGTGAAAGTTCTTATGACAAGTTGAAACACCATAGTATATGAACTCACCTAAAATGTTCATTTATTAATCTAAAAGTGGAAGGAGATATTCTGTTACTTGACAAGCATTATTAACCTAAAAAGTTCTTGGTTGATGTATATGAGTATCAAATTTCTAAGATCCAATGGCAGTATAAAATTACAGTGGAAACTTTTCTGAGTTGGACATATGTAATTAAGTTGAATGGTCATTGTTTTAGGCAAGTAGCCCATTTGAAGGATTTATATGATACAATGTTCATATTATTTTTGCAATGCTCTGCAGACCAAGTAAAGATATCATCACAGGCAGATTCTTTACCAGCTGAGCCACAAGAGAAGCCCAGGAATACTGGAGTGGGTAGCCTATCCTTTCTCCAGCGGATCTTCCTGACCCAGGAATCGAACCAGGGTCTCCTTCACTGCAGGAGGATTCTTTACCAACTAAGCTATCAGAGAAACCCTAAGATATCATCAACCTGACATTATTCAGTGATTTTTTTTTCCTTTTCTAATTAAGAGGATTTAATAATTCGCTAGTTTACTATCACTCCCATATTAACAAGAGTTAGGCTTCCTCTATGAGTACTTCATGTTTGTCAATATTGATGGAAAATTTAGCATTTTTATCTGCTAGCCTCTATCAACAGAGTCGGACATGACTGATGCGACTTAGCATGCATGCGTGCACTGGAGAAGGCAATGGCAACCCACTGCAGTGTTCTTGCCTGGAGAATCCCAGGGACGGGGGAGCCTGGTGGGCTGCCGTCTATGGGGTCGTACAGAGTCGGACACGACTGAGGCGACTTAGCAGCAGCAGCAGCAGCCTCTATCAATTATGATTAGAAAGATTTTATTTCCTTATTACTATTAGTTTAAATGAAATAGAAAAGGAACTTTTTGCTAGAATACTTTATATTTGTAGAAGCTATAGATATTCTTGTGATGTTCTTAGATCAAATAAAATTTTTTATAAATAATTGTGTAAGTAAAGACTATTTTTAATTTTTTTAAAAAAGTTTCTGTGGCAGAGTCTTTAGCAGACACCTCTGCTTTTTTCCCATATAGACAGTGTGTAAGAACTGTCTGTTGTGAAATGTTCACAAATTCTTAAATCTGAAAATTCCAATATAGCACATAAAATGCTCCATACAAATTTTGTAAAGTTTAACCTCTTCAGAGATACTGTATGATGTGTAGAGAATAAAGCAAAATTGAGATCTCAATTCTAAGTGTTTAGCCTGACCTGCTAATTAAGTCATTACTCATCCCATCATAGGTCAGTGGTTTACATTTATACTTTTATGCCTAGAGCAGTGGAGTTTCTTGGAAAATAGTCAATCTCAAACATCAAACTGTGAGTGCAAAGTGTCTGTTGTACACAATGCATTATGACAGCCAAAAATTTGTTATTCTAACTGATGGGCTTCTTATAATTTTGCAGGCGTACTGCAGTCATCCACTCACAAAACCTCTCTCTCTCCCCCCCTCCCCTTAACCCCACATCTCCATCTCTCTCTGTCTGTCTCACACACACATGCAAACACACAAACACATGATGTACAAATACAGCTGATAAATACCCACTGACTTTTGTTGCTAATATTCAGTCTAAAGTACTTGATAGAATGCAAGAGAAGGAAAAATAAGGCAAAGAAAAAATACAGTAAATATAAAATACAAAAGAAAATGTCATATGTAAAAATAAACATATCAACTAATACAATACAATAACACAATATTATATTATAATAACACAATTTGTATTGTAATAATACAATAAAAACATAAATGGATTAAAATTTCCTACTAAAATTGAACCAGTAACTCATTCTCACAGTCATCTAATATATATGTGGCACTACTAGACTCTGTAGAATGTGAAGAGATAGAGGTAAAATTTATTTCCTCATGGAGTTTACAAGCCTCTAGCTATTTTTTAAATCAAAGAATAAACTATTGCCACCCAACAGGAACTTGATATATGCAGAGAAAATGACAAGTCAAATCACTTTATTCAATCTTTCCCAATGTTTAGGGGAAAACCCGTATTTGTCAACACACAAGTTTCTTCATGTAACTGCCATTTATATATGTTTATTTCCTAAATATTATCCATATTTTCCTTAAAGAAATGTATATCCCCATCACTGGCATCCCCCAATGAAGATACTTTTATTGATCTTAAGGATTTTTAGGTATAAAATATTGTTTTAAACATAAGAACACCTCTGGTTTAAATTTATTTTCAAACAAATTTAAAAGGATGTGTAAAGTAGATAAATCTACTCTAACCTTGCCCAAAGACTGTGATTTAATGAGATGCCCTCTCTCTTACCCTCTGTTTAGACCAAAAACAAAACCGACAACTCAGGTGGAGAAGTGGTAAATGAGAAACGAAACTTCCCCCGTGGTTTCATGTTTAAAGCAAAAAAAAAAAAAAACAAAAAAAAACAGGTTTAGAGGAGCTGAAGGTAGATGGAAATGGCAACTCTATTTCTAGTTAAAAAGATGTTCATGCAATGCAGATCTGACTTGTATGCATTAATAAAAAATGGTTTTAAATTAGTAAAGAATTGAAAAATTAAGTCAGTGCAGAATTGCATAACTTACACAAACTTTAGGATTTTAAATTACAATAGTTTCACTTACATAACTCAAAATACTGCCAGTAAACTTATGAAAATACTTAGCATGCTAACCAAAGATGATCAAATTAAAATAAAAAATCTAATTTTACCTATTAAGTTAGCAAATATTTAAACATTAAATACTGAGGCTTACCAGAATTAGAGGTGTGGGGTGTGGGCAAGACTTCTTGGATTATTGATTGAGTATAACTTGATTAAGCTTTCTACAGGATATTTATAAAATCTATGAAAAGAAATTCCACTTCTAGGATTTTACCACGCAACGTAATTATGGCAACATGCAAAGATATACACTCATGCATTTTTATTGCAGCACTGTTTGCAAAATAGACTGGTACATATTAAGAGCTTGATAAATAATAGTTGAGAAATAACTCCATCTTAGATTACAGGTGAAGAAAACAGAATTCAAAGAAATCAAGTTTCACATCATTCTTAATAAACTGAATAAAAAATGAAACCTGATTTCAGTCAAACTGAAACCTATGCAATTCCAAAGCTCATGCTTTTTCCATGATGCCATATTTTTTTCCTCTGATCCCCTTACTCTTTAATAGACTCTGTTAACAACCTTCACTTGTTTATTATTTTTTCCAATGCAAATCTCTCAAATCACCAAACCCTTTGCCTGTTCTTGACTAACATTGCCTGAGGGAGAAGGAAGTCCATTTTACTGAAAAAAAATTTTTTTTCAAAAGAAAAACATTTTCTTGTAACATGTTTCCCATGATCTCTTAATTATGACCTTTCAGAAACAGCATCTTCCATCCAACAGTCACTAAAAATTCTTTTCTAGAAAAACAGATACATGCTGCATGTAAGAAATGGACAATTATCTATTTTACTCCCCCTCTCACCCAACCCCACACCAAAGGATAGTAGCATTATGACAGAGGCTTTCACAGGAAAACACTTATTTAAATAGTGAATACCTACTAAGTAAGAATCATAGTCTCATTTTCTTCATCCCTCAAAAGTTTCTAGTCCCAGATTTCTGAGAATATACCCAGAGCAAGAAGAAAAAGTAAATCTAATGCCAAAGCTCATGTTATAGACAGTGTGGGCAATAGCAGCCTAAACTGGTCCAGAAATTGAAGTTTCACCGTCTTTCTTATTAGTGCTATTCATTGCGCCCAGAAGCTGCCCTGATCCGTGTGCAGAAGACTTTCAGTAGCTCCTGTCTTTCAGGAAATTTGTTTACACTTTTCAGAAGGCGCATTTGTATAAATGGCTTCCGATCTCAGTAGGGACTCTCCAATGTAGTTCTGAGAAACATGGAAGTTTCTCAGATTAGGAACATCATTGTTGTTGTTCAGTCGCTAAGTCATGTCTGACTCTTTGCAACCCCATGAACTGTAGCACGCCAGTCTTCTTGGTCCTTCACTATCTCCCAGAATTTGTTCAAACTCATGCCCGTTGAATAGGTGATGTCATCCAACCATCTCATCTTCTGTCACCCCCTTCTCCTCCTGCCCTCAATCTTTCCCAGCATCAGGATCTTTTCCAATGAGTCAGCTCTTCACAACAGGAGGCCGAAGAATTAGAGTTTTAGCCTCAGCATCAGTCCTTTCAATGAATATTCAGGGCTGGTTTCCTTTAGGATTGACTGGTTTGATCTCTTTGTCCAAGGGACTCTCAAGAGTTTTCTCCAGCACCACAATTCGAAAGCATCAATTCTTCAGTGCTCAGCCTTCTTGTAAACATTGTAAGCTTATAAACATTATAAACTACCCCAAACATAAGGTAAAAATTTGATTTAAATTTATGTTAAATTAGAAATAATATTTACCATGCAGCATTTTTAGTAAGGGGAATTAAGAATGTTACAAAGTAAAATGATAATAAGGTTAATAATTACTGGCCCACAATTAAGGAAAAGGAAAATATAATTTTTAAGCATAAGAGAGCATGGTACTCAAGTATTAAACCTGCTATTTATTTTTAACAGCAA